CCACTTCTTCAGTCACTCCAGGCATCTGAAGAAGTGGGTTTTTTACCCATGAAAGCTTATGCCCAAATAAATGGGTTAGTCTTTAAGGTGCCAACAGACTCCTCGTTGTTTCTGTGGATACAGACTAATATGGTTACCCTTCGGATACTGTAGTTAAGTGGGTTTCCCAGGAACAATCTTGGGGGAGGTGTATGCAGACATACCTCCTCTATTATGCAAGAGCTCTGCTTTTTGAAGCCTCACTCTGAGGAGGGAACCATTGTCTGTTGAGTGCCTATTACATGAGGACAAGATCAGAAGCCCAAACTGTGTAAAGGAGGGACTCACAGATGTGCTTGTTCTCAGCCAAGGCAGTTATGAACTTGTAACCACACAAAACCCCCTTGCTGGGTTTTGAAGCACTGACTCCTACCAGAGCCCTTGCTGGAGATGGGGTGATTTCAGGTAAGCTTATTAGCATGCATGGTTCTTGTTTTAATATGGTTTCTCTATAATGCTTGCACCTTAGGAATAAATGTGCTTGCTTAGAAAAAGCTGTGCAGTACCTTTATAACTGTGGGCAGTTACACTGTTCACAGCCTCTGAGGAAAAAAAGCAAAGCAGGCCTGCTCAGGCAGTCTGACTTGCTGGGGAATTCACACAGTGTAGACAGGGAACTGTGCAGCCTGAAAACACCGCAGTCAGAAGGGGACAGAGATGTATGTCTCTGCCTAAGAGAGCTGATGGCTATGGAACCAGAAGCCAGGGAGAGGGTGCTTTTGTTGGCCCATAAAAGAGGAACAGTGGTGCAGTTGCCAAAGGGGTTGCAAGGAGTGTATGTTGGATGAATTCAGCCCTGAGTAAAGGCTGCAGGATTTGGGCCCTGTGGGATTTTAAAAATGGCATTCCTTTGCAGAGCATCTCCTCTTACTTAATGCTGTGGTCTATACTCTACCCCAGAGCTACATGTGCTATTCCCACTGATCTCAATAGGATTTCCATCTATAAATCCTAGTGGGTTGGGGGGCGGGGGGGAGATGGGAGGGAGGGAGAGGAAGCATAGTGTTAAGACTCTGATAAGTCTGATGCCATAACAATGGCTGATATAGACAGAGAATTTTGGATTTCATTGTAGCACCAGCAGAGGATAGGTTGTAAAAGTAAAATATTTGTAAAAATAGGAAGGAGAAGATGGGGGGGGAAGACCACCTGCGTAACAATCTTTGGTCCCAAACCTGCAACACTGCTAGCTATAACTTCTATTGAAGCCTACCAGGAGTTATGCCTGAGTGAGTATTTTATATAAATGGCTGGGAGAGTATAGTTGTAGCTTGCCAAAATGGTGGCATGCTTTAGAGGCATGTTCCATTAACTAAGACCCTATTTCGTGTTATAATACCCTTTAAAAACAGTTATTACAACCATTCTGATATAGCATAGTTTACACTAGATAAACTGTCACATATAAATCTACTGCCTTGCCTTTGCATACCTGTGAAAAAAAGCCTTGAGAAAAAACAAGTCATTCCTTTAAATACATTCTATTTATAGAGAAATGGTTGTATGTCAATCAGTTTTGTTCTCAGTAGATCTACTGCTATACTACTCCAAGAGTAATATGACAGTAATGCCTCCCACTTATGGACCTTCACAGAACCTCCAAAACCAGCACTTTGGCCCACAGTGACTTGCAAGGAAACAAACATTCATCCCTGCTGAAAATACATGGAAGCCAATGGATATACACAAGTGATTACTTTAGGGCAGAGGATATACACCAGTGATCTCCTAGTGCAAGGTGTGTGGTAATGCTTGTATAATATAATGCATATTGTGAACAGCACAGTATAACAAAAACGACAAGTTAGTCAAAAGGACTTGGTGCCTCTCTACAGATACTGGCAAAATAATCCAAATCCTAGGCACACTCTCAGGTACCAATTTATCAGCGATGAAGGAGGGAAGGCCTGCTAAATGTTCTATTACAAACAGGACTATTGCAACCAAAGAGTTTTATCATTTCACCTTTAATAATACTTTCTACACATGTAAAGCTAGTCAGCCAAGGAACTCACAGCATTTGACAAAAGGTGTGACGTTATCATCCCCATTTTACAGACAGGGAAACGGAGGCAGACACAGCAATGTAGCCTAGGTTAAACAGCAAGTCACCGTCCAAAACAGGACTAGAACCCACGGCTCCTGGCTCAATCCCTTTCTCTAACCACTAGCAAAATCCAGTTTGTTACAGCACAGTAGTTCTTACAAAAGAAAACAAAAAATTGCATACTTCCACCCACCCATTAGTGGCATGAGTACAAAAATAAATATATTTTTTAAAATTCACAGTTTATAAAAATAAGTCCATTTAGTTGCACATGACTCAGGGTTGGGGTTTATTTGACTTTGGAAGATAATGCCTGTTTGAAACGTCTCTTTAGATCTTGCATGTTGGGAGATTTGGGTCGAGGGATGATGGACGATCTCCTTTTGTCTCCACAGCTGCTGTGGTGTAGTTTGCTAACCTCCTTGCAAAGATACTGAAAAACATCACACACCCCATGGTAGTTTTCACTAGTGGAGATTTCTAAAAACACAGTGCCCAGTTCATTAGCCAGCTGTAGCCCCTCATTGGTCTGTACCTGCCTCGCATGGAGGAGATCCCCTTTGTTTCCCACAATAAGGATGGGTATTTTAGAGTCTGGATGGACTTTGCGTATGTGCTGATAGAGAGGACGAATAGACTGATAGCTACTGTAGTCTGTGATAGAATAGACCAAGAGAAAGCCCTCTGCCCACTTCACACATCTGGAAAGAGAGTCCAACATCTGTACAAAGCCTTCTTGCACCTGTAAAGGAATGATTGGAAGTTAGATAATGGAATGATGAAGCTTAAATTGTACTATTTTCAAACAGATTAATAAAGCAATAAGACATCTGACCACACTGCGCAATCTAATGAACTTGATTCCTATTAATTAGGAGGCAGGTCTGGCTATTTAAGGAATGGCTCAACTTTTGAGTCTTTATTAAGGACTTGTCTACATTACCCGCAGGATTGATGGGCAGCGTCTATCTAGTCTAGAGGCAATAAATCGACTGCTGAGCGCTGTCCTGTCGACTCTGGTACTCCACTGGAGAGAGAAGTGCAGACAGAGTTGACGGGGGAGCGTCAGCAGTCGACTCAGTCGATCTAAGTATGTCAACGTAGCTGAACTTAGATCAATTCCCCCCCGTGTAGACCAGGCCTGATAGAGCATAACTACTTAACGCAGACTTAAAGAACAGAATTGTAAAAACTAATGTTTCTTCTTGAATCATTTTAAATTAAATCAAATGATTTAGTTGCTGTACATTTAGCTTAGTACTTAGGCTGCTAGTAGAACATGACTAAAACCAGATTTTTTTCCCCATGCAGATTTATTAAATATGCTAGAGTAGCTTGCTTGAAAAATGTGTGCTATAGTGATTTATGTTGTCTAAGTACATTATCATACACATTCTAGTAGGTCTTAAATTTAGTATTTTAAATAATTTTTTTTAACTGTCTGTTAATAAACTTTCAACATAAATAAGTTTGATATAACTGCATTCCAAACAGCCATTGCAGATTCTTTTGTACAGGCTTAAATCCATTCTATTTATAGAAATGTTTGCTAATGTACCTTTAATCACAGCTATTAGTCATAAAATAACTGTAGGCAGTGATGCATGAATGGTTCTAATGATTAGGAAAGAAAGACTGTATTTCTACTGACTTTCAGTGGAGTTTGGATCAAGTCCCCCATTGCTAGTCAGAAGCATTTCTGTACCTGAATACATCCCGGTGTGTCTTGGATCTGTATGGAAACTTGGTCTCCCTCTACATGAACAAGTCTTGAATACAAGTTTCCTGAGAAATAAATAAAGATAATTAAAGCTGTTGCTTTGGGGCAGGGGGAAGAAATTCTAAAGAAACATGGTTGCTAGCATGTAGATTCTGAAAACAGGCATTAAAAAAAATAAATCCTCACCTGTATTGGGTTCATAGTCTCCAATAAACCTCTTTGTTAGGAATCGAACAATCATAGCTGAAAAGAACCAGATGCTTTTATTAATAGCCGCATGGCAAAACACAGTACAAATCACGCTCTAACCCCTCTGGCACTCCCAAGTATGTACATCTACAGGTTTATCAACGGATGTTAATGCAGAAAGAGCCTTAAAAAAAAAATCATTGTCATATTTGGATTGGAGGGGTGTACAGCTAGATCAAAGCCAGTCAAACAAACAAGAATTGGACAATAGGCTTGGCCTGCCTGGCTACTGGAAAAACTCTGTGGCTATGAAGGAATTCGCCAGCTAAGGCAAGAAGCATCCCTGACTTCGGCGCTTCTTTCCTGACCAAGTGCCAAGTCCACAAACAACCCAGACAGATTCAGCCAACATCCCTCTGTTTTCAGGAATATTCCTTCCTTCGCCTCCGGGATCTCTCCACGTGCGATGGAGCCCAGGTTGTCTCTCGCTCCCCAGCCCCAGCTACGGCCCCTGGATCGCGGCTCCCACCCCCCGCGCCTCGGCAGGCGGGAGCCCCCCAGGCAGCGGCGCGCCCAGCTGAACTCACCGCTTTTGCCCACGCTGCCTGCCCCCAGCACCGCCAGCTTGATGTCCCGGCTCTGGAAGAAGTCCGAGGGGCACTCCAGGATGGGCGCGAGCAGGAAGTTAGTGGACATGGTCGGCAGGCGCATGGAAAGGGAGGGGTAGATCCGGGCTGGGAACAGCAGCGTGTGCCCCACAAGTACCGACACAACGGAGGGAGCCCCGCCGGCGGCGCGAGGGCAGCTGTTGCCGCCGCCGAAGGAGGTAACAAGGAGATGGAGATGCTGATGATGTTGCAGCTGCGGTGCCGCTGCCTGAGCGCCTCTGAAGCCCGAGCTTTTAAAGGGACCCCGGCAACCGCTAGGAGCCGCCTCCTCCCCTCGCAGTCCAGCCCCAGCCCGGCGGCCGTCGCTACGTACGCACATGGCGGGGTGTACGCACACAGCGCACACGCCACTGGCCGGCTGCAGCAGCGGGGGCCCTCCCCCGGGCTGGCTGGGGCGCGCCCCGCGTGCCTGGGGCGCAGCTGTCCGCGGTTGCGCGCCTTTCTTTTCAGACGCCTGCTGCCTGGGGCCGCTGGCCGGGGGGCTTGGGGTGACCCATTGTCCCCAACGGGGAACGTGCACCAGCAAAAGATGAACCAGTTCAAGCCCGGATCCTGCAAACTCTTCTGCCAGCTTAGCCACCCGTAACCCCCTGACTGCCGGGGGCTGCTCATGTGCGAGTTTGCAGGTGGGGGTAAATGTACCTTTGCTTATACTGCTAAAAAGACACCAAAGTGAGCTTAGAGAACTAGACATATAAGGCTGGAACTGGGACCTCAAAGGGCCTCAAGTCCAGCCCCCTGCGCTGTGGCAGGACCAAGTAAACCTAGAGATCATTCCTGACAGGTGCTTGTCGAACCTGTTCTTAAAAAAACCTGGATGCTGGGGACTCCATAGCCTCCTTTGGAAGCCTATTGCTGAGCTTAACTACACTATTAATTAGAATTTTGTTCCTAATATCCACCCTCTGTCTCCCTTGCTGCGGACTAAGCCAATTCCATCTTGTCCTGCCTTCAGGGGCTATGAAAAATAATTGATCACCTCCCCTTTCTAACAGCCTTGAACATATTTGAAGACTATCAGGTCCCCCCCATCTTCTTTTCTCAAGACTAAACATGGCTCATTTTTTTTAACCTTTCCTGGTGGGTCAGGTTTTTTAAACCAATCATTTTGTTGCTCTTCTTCCAGCACTCTTCAATTTGTCCACATTTTCCCTAAAGCGTGGCACTTGGAACTGGACACAATATTCCACCTGAGGCCTCACTAGTGCCAAGTAGAGCTAGACAATGACCTCCCGTGCGTCTTACCTACCACACTCCACATTTCCACAGGAATCGGGACAAGCGATGCAGGAAGTGCAGCTATGCCAATGAGATATTACCCCACGTCCTGTGTAGCTGCAAGCCCCATTCCAGAGCCTGGCAGCTGCGACACAATGCCATCCAAGATTGCCTGGGCAGAGCCATCCCCGGGGCCGTCCTTACCCATATGCATACGCAAAGTACGCAGTTCCGGTTCTTCCCCAGGGTCCCCGCCCCTGCTCCACCCTGCCTCGCCTCTTCCCTGCCCCAGCCCCGCCTCTTCCCACCCCCGCCCTGCCCCCACTCCTTGAGGACTCTAGAAGTGGTCGGGCCTGCACTCACCGGTAAGTAGAGTGACCTGGCCCCAGCCTGCTCCGCTCCCCTGGCTTCCAGCCACGCCGCCAGCGAGTGCTGGGGGGCGGTTCCCCCTTCCTCCCAGGCCTGGGAGCCAGGGAAGCGGAGCAGACTGGGGCGGGTCACTCCACTGAAGTGGCCTAAAGCCCCCCTACCCCCGTCCCCCACGGAGGTCTGGGGCGGGGCCCCACCCAGCCCCCCGCAGACGCCTGGGGCCAGCCCCCCCGCCACTCCTCCCCACGGGGGGCTGCATAGGGCACCAAAATAGCTAGGGACAGCCCTGGCCATCCCGCCACCTGTGGGGAAGGTAGCCATGAACTCCGCCATCCCCGGAACCGACAGCCAACTGCGACCAGATATCGTCATCATTAACAGGGACTGGAAGAAGATCATCGTGGTGGACATCACAGTGCCCTTCGAAAACAGGACTCCGACTTTCCATGATGCCCAATCTCGAAAGCTGGAGAAATACGCCCCTCTTGCTGACACCCGGAGAGCTAGGGGCTACGAGGTCCAAACTCACGTGCTGATCGTCGGAGCCCTGGATGCATGGGAACCCGGTAACGAATGAGTGCTGAGAGAATGTGGAGTCGGTCAACGATACGCTTGGCTGATGTGGCAACTCATGGTGTCAGATGCCATCAGGTGGTCAAGGGACACATCACCGGACATGAGCAATACCAGGAGGGATGAGCTGGAGTGCCCATGAGAAGCGCAATCAGGAAAGTAACTCAAATACTTTTCTGATGGACTGTTTTTTTTCTCTAAATGGACAACCTATCCTAAATTCTCAATTACTGAGGGGCAATCTTCACTCATTGATATATTTTGCTTTCCACCACCAACTCTCTGTAAAACTTTTTTCATGAGTAATATACCTGAATGCATGGAAGCTGGATATCTAAACTATTATTAAATTCATTCACCTAAATTTTGATTCTTGCTGATTATGCACTATATGTATCTTACGACTTTAAAAATAAACTTTGTATTTGTGGGTAATCTAAGCACTATACCCAGATGTACAGACACTCTTTTCTCAACCTATGTATTATATAATTCTTTTAACATTGGCTTTAATAAAAAATTTAAATCTGTTTCTCTGGGGTCAGAGGCCTGCAGCTACCTGGCTGGCTAATTAGCCTCATCCACTGCACCTGGGAACAGACCGGCACCTTAACTGGCTAATCCTTAGAAAAGGAGGAGCAGGATATAGAAGAGGGGGCTGTAATACCTGCTAGAGCCTGGAGCAAATTCTGGGAGAAGCAGCTCCAAGAAACAGAAGGGAAACTGGGGAAAGTTCTGTTATCACAAAAAAGGCTCTGAGGTAAGAACTTTTGGGTTGATGAGTTTGTGGGGTGAGGGACAGACTTGGGAGAAAGGGACTTAACCTATACAGACTGTGTGGAGAGGTTGCGAAGTGTTGATTCTGATTTCTGTTATGAAGATTTGAAATAAAACCCACAGTAATTAATCTGAGTGGAAACTACCTTCCCTGGATTCTGTGAGAGAGCCCCAGGGATGGAGCTGGCTCTGCAGGCACTAGCCTGGGTCCAGCTGGAAGAGAGTGTTGTAGGAGGCCCCAGTCTTTTACAGCACCTCAGAATGATTTTAGCCTTTTTCACAACTGTATCACATTGTTGACTTATATTCAGTGAGATCCACTATAACCCTCTGAACCTTTTAGCGGTACTACCACCAAGCCAGTTATTCCCCATTTTGTATTGTGCACTTGATTTTTTTGCTTCCTAAGTGAAGTACTTTGTATTTGTCCTTATTGAATTTAATGTTGTTGAATTCAGGCCAAGTCTCCAATTTGTCAAGGTCATGTTGAATTCTAATCCTGTCCTCTGAAGTGCTTGCAACTCCTCTCAGCTTTGTGTCCTCTGCAAATTTTATAAGCACACTCTCAACTCCATTATCAAAGTTATTATTGAAAATATTGAATAGTACTGACCCCTAGGGAATCCCAATAGATAAACTGGAAGAGTGTAACAGTGAATCATTGATGATTACTCTTTGAACACAGTTGTGCACCCACCTTATAGTAATTTCATGTAGACCAGGGGTTCTCAACTTTTTTTCCTGACCCTCCTCTCCTTCTCTCCCCCCCCCCCCCCCAAATGTGCTGTAAAAACACCAGGGCCCAGCAGGTCAACCCTAGGTCACTCCCAGCTTCAGCCCCGCGATGGGTTGCTGGGGTTTGGAGTTTCAGCTGTGGGGCCTTGTGGCCCCCCTGCAAGCGTTCATGGATCCCCAGTTGAGAACTGTCAATCTAAACCATATTTCCCTAGTTTGCTTATGAGAATGTAAAGTAGGACAGTGTCAAACGCCTTACTCTATTGTGATATATGCTTTATTTTAGTAATTAGGAGTAAATCATATACTTTTTTCATTTTTTATATAAAGTTATAAACAGAATTCATTTTGTGTTTCTTTTATCATTTAGTAATACTTTTCTTTTTCATATCCAGATACATCATTCAATAACCAATATTGGAAATCCAGGCTCACATTAATTAAGGTTCACCTGGGTGGAATTTGAAAGTGCTAAAAAAAAAAGGGGGGGGGTTTAATCTAGACTTTTTAAAAAGTGAGGCAAATATTAAAAACGAAATGCTTCTATTACTAGAAATAAATAACACAATTACTGTCACACTCAAGCCCCAATCCTGCAAGCAATTGTGCACATGATCATTTTTATTCATGTGAGTAGTTGCACTGGCTTCAATGAAATTACTTATGCATGTTCAGCAGGTGAGAGTTTGCTGATCTGGGCCTTAAAGAATTCATAAAAGGGTGAATATATATATATTTTTTTAACATTAAGGAGTATGACACCAACCAGCAAAAGCTGACATGTAGAACTAAAATGTTAGAAGGTAGTCTGTCAGAACATTTTTTAAAAAGTAGTAAATTTAAAAAATTTAAGTTGATAATATCCCTTTAAGTTTGTGTCTTTGTTCACCTATAGGTTGTGTTTGATACAGCTATTACACTACAAGAGAGGGATCAAAGTAAGACTTATCAAACCCCTAGACCGTGACTTCATAGTTAAAGTTCAGGGCAACTGCATCTGCACTCCCCCTCTATGATCCATTGTCAGGCTTCCAGCTCCCCAGCTGTCATGTCTCCTGGGTGGAGACATGTTTCTCTTCCTCCTGACCAGAGTATTCCAGGTTGCACAGCTCCCTGCCTATACTGATATCCCAAGAAAATGAGAGTGCCTAAACAGGCCAGTGTCTGTGCTTTGCTTTCTCTTCAGAGACCATAAACAGCATAATTGCCCATTGTTAAGGAACTACACAGCTCTTTCTAAGCAAGCACCTTTATTCTTAAGGTGAAAGCAGGGGAGCTGGAAGAATTTGTATAATGGGGGTGTGGAGAGCCACTGAACCCAACTGTTAACCCTGTATATGATGGGAAAAGTCCACTCCATGCAATTGGGGTTCATCTATAGATTTTTTTTTTTTCCCTTCCAGAAGTAGGTGTATCCTCCTTTCTCCTCCCTCACCTGTCTATCAGCTCTTCTAGTTTCAGACAAAGCAGCAATATTGATGTTGAACCGACTCAATTCACAAGCAATAATGGCTGTATGTCGCTCTGGTGGGTCGCCATTTAAGTTGTCCATCAGGGAATGTACGTTCCAAAATTGAAAAGTTTCTTACATTTTCGACCACTGAGGTGGTGATCCTGCTGGATGTGTCTATCCAGCCAGAAAAAACAAAGGCAAGACTATTTTTAGAGTACCTTTTCTAACCCCTTACCATGTGAGCAGAGTGGATCCTAAAAAGGACTGCTCAGTTGTGAGTGCAGCTGCTGAGATGCTCAGCCCGCCTCAATCCTTGAGCAAGACCGTATCACACACCCACTGCCTGTGTGTCAGTCTGTGACTAGGAACTTCTGGATTTCACTGTCCTGTTCCCATCGCCGATTGCCACCAGACTTTTGACTTGTGCAAATGTTATTTTTCCCCAAAAAACTGGAAGATGTCTGTGCGGGACTTCTTTTAAAGTGGGGAGACTGGTGCACAACAGTCCCCACACTATCCTTGACAGATAGAGGACTTGAAACCAATGGCACGGATACCATGATGATTGGTGATCCTCTATCTGCTGCAGCCTTCATCCACCTTCACAGCCATTGTAACATTACATAACAGTTTCTCCTCCATTGTGCAGTTATCCTCCATCTGCTCTGTTGTTAGGGACTTCTTGGCTCACACTTTGTCTGGAACCTCACCCTTGACCGTTCTGCCATGGATAGCCCTAAGGGAGTACATGACTCCAGGCAGCATTGCTTTTTGGGGTCATTGAGACACGCAAGCCTCTCCACCATTACAAGGTACCAGTTGGCAACAATGAGCGGTTTATGACTCTCTGCGGCACACCAAAAATCAACAGGCAACTATTATGA